AGACAGTTAAGGACTTTTATGAAGACACAAGTGCAGAACTTTTTAAAAACTGGTGTCAAAATTATCTTATCTGATGCTCTGTCCTATATATCACCACCACATCGCAAGTGATTTCCCCTATCTGAGAAAGACCATAACGGAGGTGGAAAATAGTAAAGCAGAAGCGTACAAAAAACAGAAACATTTCCGCTACGGGGGAGACTGCGGAGATTAAAATATCAACGGACGTTGCCGAAAGAGCCGGACCGGCACATTATAACTTCCCAAAGACCATTGGTCATCTTATATAGGTCCAGGGGTGAGTCCAGTCGGTGACAGGTTTCATATAGGCCTGGAGGCCGGAAATTGTGTTCAGCGCCGTTGGTCAACTTCCAGTTCCGTATCTTACGGACCTCGACGCCTGATTCATTACCCTTATCACGACTTAAACCAAATCACTGACGCCGAGGGTTCGGGGAGTCGTCGTTAGTATTGCATCGGAGTGCGCACAGACCGAAAATAACCGTAATATGCTAAACTTCATGACTGGATTTGCAAATAGTAACTTTAGAATTAGGAGGTAAAGCTGGATAGATTTGATTTTGATTTGAACATCAATAAATATATTTTGCCCCTATAGAAGTTGGGTTAGTATATCTATAAAGGAAAAGTAAGAATTTTGTTCTACAGGAGTAAAAGTCATAAGGATTAAAGACTAAATGGACTTATTAAAGTTAACTTATGCATATACATCTAGTGTCGAGGTTTGTCAATTGACCACTACTTAATTGACTAGTCCAATTCGATCAAAATGTTTTTAATAACATGTTGCAATTGTAGAGTGTTATCTATCATTATTTAATACGTATTTTTTAATATATTATTATGCGTTTGTGATGTCCAATTTAACTATAACTCTCTTCAAGGAATACCCGAATACGAGATTTAACGATTCGGGGTTTCCCGACTCCATTTAGTTCTCAGAACGACGCAACGGCGGCGTATCGCACAATATAAATAAATATAAATAAGTTAATATACATTTCATTGAAATTTTAAAATTATTTTGGTCAATTAACACAAAGAAAATATTGGCCGGTCAATTCAACAACCCTTATGTATGTGCAATGAGAGCAGTTTCCAATATTAACGGGTTCATTTTCTGACAACTCGTTGCTTAGTTTAGTTTCTAGATATGTATATTAGTAAAGAAAGTCAAGAGGAGACAGACATTTTGTTAGCTCATGCGCAAATTATTTGAACGCTCACTTTTAACGAGTAAAGTCCGGTAGAGACGAGGCATTTTCTACATGCATTTCTGCATCAATTTTTATGAAATACACAATTCTATTAAACATGCACGTATTTCAACACGTTGCAATTTTTCGAGCAATATACATTAAAGGTTGGTTTTGGCACTTAAGAAATGTAGTTTATAGTGTACGGAAGTTTCAATTAAATGACTGAACTTTATGCGAACATATACTTGCCACATTCTAAAACTAGTCGATGAATAAAAGAAAATCGTTAATCCTAAAACTAACCACGAGGGAAATAGGGTTGTTTGACTAATCTTTAGTCCTAATTTATATTATACTAGAAAATTACAACAGTTTTTTTAAATATATTGTTCATAGGCATTTTTTATTATCATAGAATTTGGAAGACGATCCGACTATTACTATGCCGTAGTTTTGGAAGAACGTGTTTTCTTTATTACCGGTCAATTGACCACTTTTCAATTGACCAGTGAAAAAATGTTTTATATAACATCTTGCAATTGTAAAGTGTTATCTATCATTATTTACTAATATATATTTGATATTAAATTATTATGCACTTGGCATGTCCAATTTACCTCTAAACTTCTTCAAAGAATATCCGAATACGATACAGCGATTTGGGGAATCCCAATAATATCGACTCTATTTGGTTCCCAGACTCGACGCGACGGCGAAATAACGCATATATATTTCATGGTATCTTAAATATCTCGGTCGATTGACACAAAAAAATTGACCTGTCAATTCCATAACCCGATAAACACTGGTGTTATAGTAATACTAATACTAATATTTTCGTAAAATAACTTCCGCAAAAATACATGTCTTAATTGCATCGTGTCTACCGGGCTTCAGTCATTGCGGTGCAGTTGTTCAATTCTACAGCTTTGTTTGTATATGGTGTTTTTCGATCAGAATGGGTCCAAATCTGCATACAAAAAACCAGTTAAGTGTGTGGCTGTTTGGAAAGAAATTGTTACAATGTGCAGGTAAGTGTGCAAAATGAAGGGGCACGGGCTAAAAATGTAAGAAAATATGTTTGTGAATACTGTTAAACTATTCCCAAGCAACCAATCGAAGGCTTTCATCAAGTGCTTCGGAGGGTATTTGCACACGCTACGCACTGCGAGCTTATTATATTAAACTGGCCACGCACTCTAAAATTTTTAGGTTGAAACTTACTCAATGAAAATCTAGTAGCCTATGAAAGCCATAGAAAATAAAGGCAACCATTATATCGTCCGGATATAGATTTACAGCGTCCTATTTTGTGATCCCTATAAGAGATTTTTTTTTTTAGTTATTTTGGTTCCAAATTTCATATGCTCCAAAATATTGACCCAAGCATACGTTAATTATTCTGTATTCATTTTTCCTTGAGTATAAATTTTACGTTTTTACCTTCATTAGGCGCTTTAACATGACGCATGTCATCGGATATGCTATAACGCGCGCCAATGCCATAAATTTGTAGAGCTTTATAACATCCTGAACTTGTCTGTGTATCCGTGTAAAACTCGAAATGTCTTTGGCGTTCAAATCGTTTTCAATATACAGGGTGTTTTCTAATCGAATGTCAATAATTATATTTTAATATCTGTAGTACCACATTATCACACAAATTTAAATCTCTTCTCTGTATCGGCATAACAATAACAATATGCAGAGAATTGTTATCATAATTATGTATTACTTAAGTAATTGTCTATTTATTTTATTAAAATTCTTTAAAAAAAGTATTACGAATACGAAGTACGTTTTTTTTTTAATTTAACCAGTGCAGAGTCGACCTAATCAACCAAAATATTATTTCTTCATAGCCAGTCAGTGGCACGCCACTGATTTCCTTAAAAAAATAACGACATGTGAACACGGTTTTAACTTAAAAATAAAAATTAATTTCTCTGCGTGCTATCATATTAACGTTATTGTTATGACCATGCAGGGACGAGGTTTTTATTTTTTCATCAAGAAACTAAATTTCTTTGTAAGATTGTAAGAATAATGTTAATAATTTTAAGAGAAATCAGTCGTGTACCATCTGCCAAAATAGACAGGTGAAATTCCGTACGCCCGCCACTGGTGCATAGTATATGTGTGCTAAATTTCATTAAAATATCCAAAGTGGTATTACAGATATTAAAAAAAAAATATTTTTAAAAGCTTTAATATCCTGTATCTCAAAAGTTAAGACGTTTAGAACATATGTTCATATGAAGTTTTCGTTTTAAAATGGACCCAAAAATCGCCCCTTAATTATCGACATTACATTAAAAAACACCCACATACACGGTGAAATTTGAAAAACATTTTGTTCTTCAGCAAGACAGTCAAACTATTTTATTAAATGTTAGCACTTTCTACATTTTGACAATAATACAGTCTGTCAATTAACTCGTTCCCACCATTATGCAAAATTTCTTTTCTTTTCTTTCAAAATTTTTTTTACATATCCCCAAAGAAAAAAGTTCAGGGGTGTTAGGTATGGCGACCGAGCTGGCCATCCAATGGGACCTCGTCTTAAAATCCACCTGTGTCTCTTTGAAAGTCATTTCGGTTGTTTGCTACAATTGTTTGAATCTAAAGATTTTGGAATATTGATCGATGTATAAAATATAATGGAGGTTATGTGGAAAATGTTAATGAATAATATAATTTTATTATTTGACGTTTTTCTTCCTCAGTATGGCCCATTTGAAATATCTTAAGTTATTTAGCTTATGCTGCAGATCTTTAGTTTTGATTGGTTGTCAAAAGTAGGTGTTTGCCAAAATATAATAAATAACTCTGCACATATATATAATATTCAATTATTTATGTCTTCGTTATTTTATTTAATTTAGAGCATCGATTTAATTTTATTTTTAATATTGTTGCAAACTTTTTTGACTCCTTTGACAGAAGGCTATCTTTATAGTTTTTGTTGTTAAATTTCTAGTTAGTTCCTTTTAACATTAGACTAAAAAATATCATTATTTAGTCGAAATAGTTAGTATTAAAGCAAAACAACAAGCAAACGGGCGATCAAATTGTAAAATAGCATAATTATGTTCCTTTCCTATTTTTGTGTGACGTAGAACAAAAGGATATCATAAACATGAATTCTGGTAAACTTATAAGAATTTTGTGAAATTCACTTACTACTTCATTACCTCCTAATTTTTTTTTCAGTAATACTATTATTAAAGTTTTCATACCAAACTAGGAATTTATTTCATTGTGCATTAATGGAAATCTAATTAGTTGAAAATTGTTTAAAATTTAATTAATTAAAATGAACAATAATACCTATCAGTTAAATGGAAGTAAATATCCCCCCCCCCCGCTCTCACTTTATCTCTCTCTCACTTCCTCCTCACTCCCTCTCCCTCCCTCCCTCCCTCCCTCCCGAGGAAAACTGGCAAAAAGTTTGATGTATATATATATATATATATATATATATATATATATATATATATATATATATATATATATATATATATATATATATATATATATATATATATATATATATATATATATATATATATATATATATATATATATATAGACTATAAGAAACACTTGGTTGACAGTTATATCTTACATCTTAAAAAATGCGCTTGATGAATATAACAGTTGTTCTAGTTGGTCTAAAACCATTCTATTGTCAAAACGGAATAATTAAAGGTTCTTATCTGGAAGTGAAGGGAATTACTAAGAGGAAGAGGAGAATAAAAAAACAGTTTATATAAGTACACAAGATGTAGCATTTAATGCTCACGTTTCAAAAAAACACTATACAGAGGACACGGCGTTACCAAATTAATTTAGAGGTATCTCGTCCCATAATCGTTTATAATATTAATATATAATTTTCATTAAAAAGCAGAACACAATAAAGTTTCCTCTCATACATTATTATAACATAGAGGTACGATATTCTCTCAATGATCTGTATTGATTTATTTCTTGTTTCTCGTATACATTGGATAAGGCGATAATGATTCATGATGGAAATCACTTAAAACGAACAGCCAACATTTTTTTATCGGAGGTAAATTGTATATACAATAAAAATTAAAAACGCTGCGCCGAGTGAAACGGGGACGAACGCGAAGCCTCCCTCGATGAGTGATCGCTTTGTATACATACAACGGTAGCCTATCCATAAATACTTATTACAATATATACAATACACCGGGGTATATTAAATAAAAAACTATAGTCTCCTGTAAAATGGTATACGCAACAGGTCTGCCGTTTCACTCGGCCGATCAACAAAGGTAACGCAGAAAAACGTAAACTACGCGAACAACACAATTAATACGAAAAAAACATCGCATTGCCTGATTGTCGAACAAACAAAATGTCACATTTTAAGTCTGGAAATTTTACGTTTAGTCAATGACTTTGAGTACCGTTCATGGGCGTTTGTAGACGATCTCCTTCCCCCTTGCGAGGTTCATTTTACGTAGTGTCCTGGATGTGCTTAAATAATTTTCATAGTTTTATTAAGAAACTACTAATTTACTGTTATAACTCAAAAATTAAGTGTGCTAATCACATAAAAGAAGAAGATCCCCTCCTAAAATTAAGACTTTTCAGAAGGACCCGGTGAAGAAATCTTTACGATGACACTATATTACAGTGGACCACTCAAAACCATTGAATTTGGAGATCACGTCATAATGTGATTAGCTGCAATCAGAGGTATTTATTTAATTTGGGCTTAAGTTAGAATTAATTGCTGAACAATTAAATTTAAAAGCAGCAATAGAAACGGCAAAATCCGGTGAAGAGTATTTGGGTTTATAATATATATGACCTAATTTAATTTCGGAACTCAAGTGAACTCAAATAAATTTAATTTCAGCAACTGTGAATTTTTAAAATTAGGTCCCCAAATTACAGTGTGTATGTGACAAGTGATATAAAAAACAGGTGCTCATGTGGAAGAGAAGACTATAGGGATTTTGTTCAAGATGCCCATTTTCCTTTTATTATTATTTAACTGATTTTAAACGAAATTCCGGATACTTAATAGCAAAATTACTGGAGTGATATTGAAATGAACACTCAGGTCAAAATTTTTAAAACAAAAATTACGATATTTTCAACTATTTTTTCAATTTAATTTAGTATTTAAACGTTTTTAGCTAACCTAGGATGAACAAATGTAAAATAATGCAAAATGCATTATGCATCATTCGTGGTAAAAAATCACATTTTAATAATATTGTATGTAATTCCAAATTTCAATATACAAGGCAATTCTGAATTAACTAACTGACCACGATTTAAAATTTGGCAGATTTCAAATAATTTTTTCATTTGTGAAAGGATTTACTTTATGTTGATCCATTAAAAAATTTCTCATTAGTTTTCAAGAAATACCTGATGTTGAAGGCATTTTTTGCAAGTTTGAATTTTCGAGTTATTAAAAAAAAAGTGTTATAGTTAGATTTAAAATGCAACACTTTTTATCCGATAAAAGGACTGATGTGTTACTTCTTAGTACAAAGCATAGTGAAAATATCAATGACAAAAGAGCGACAACCCTGATTACCATTTCCCGCCAATTGAGTGTACGATAAATTTATAATAATTACAATAATAATAACCTATAACATCACTAAAATCGTATACTTTGCGTATTTGGCAAGGTAAGCAAGGACGACGCTGCCAGTGTCACACGCTGGTGATAAGAAAATTTCTTTGGACAACATTAACAACAAGCCGATTGGCTTTGTAATTTTCTTGCCACCGAATACAAATAATTAAGGGCCGGTATTTGAAAATCATCTGGGTGGTTTTGTTTATGCGAAGATTATTTTTCAAGTTTAAGATTTGTGCCAAAATCATCGAAACTGCTGCAAAGTAAGTCTTGATTACTTCAATCTACCCATCTGGTAGGTTGGTACGATAGTGTCGATCATCCGTAGACCACCTGAGGATTTTGCGACATTCTGTATACTTGTGTATATGAATTATTAGTCTAGTCGTAGCGAGAGGGTTTCGATTGAAGCCGTCTCGCCTGTTAGTATCTTTCTAGGTTCATTAGTTACGTATATCGTATATCATTATCGGGACACAGAGGAGAGAGTCCAAGGTATCTCAAATAGCAAAACAAAAATCACAACAGATATAACAACTATTAAATTTACAACAGCACAACCTTGAATTCTTTTTCTCGTACGTTTCGCACATTTTTTTTTACATGAAATTGTTTCAAATAAAGCTGCAATGGTGAGTCGTCGATGGAGTCGACACGCCTGCTGTGTACAAACAAAACGGCGGTAATCTTTTGAAAATCGAGTTGCTGCGAAGGTGAACTTGCATATGATGAACAAGCTTGTCGACTCCGCGTAGTTACAGTATTACTAGAAATGTGGGGAGGATGATAAAGTTTAGAGGGGACGGGTAGAGCGGCTGATCGTTTTTTTTTCCTAATAGGACCGGGGACAATTTCCATTGGGGACTAGGACGAGGATGTTAAAAGGTAACACATCAAGGAACCTAAGCTACGATACCACATCACTTAACACGTTTGCGGATATCCTTTTGTTTGCTTAACGGTATAGTATACAATTGTTATACATTATTCGGCCCGGGGAACCTCTTCGGGGTATCCCACGCATCTCACCACTATCTATTTACAGCAGTCAGCACGATTAGTTTTAATACTTTTGTACAAGTCCTTGCCGTCTTTTGTTTCAACTAAACACCGTAGCACTACATATACACTTTGTACAAAGATAATCACATTTAAGAGTTGCATATTTCTATGTCCATTGTCGTTGTGACAAACTGAAGGGAACCTGAAACAATTTGCCAAATTTAGTTAACCATATCGTTCAAAAGATTATAACAGTTAACAATTGGTATTTTTGAAGAGTCAATGAAAGTTAAAAAATGTACAGGGTGGCTCGTTTATTATGGGATAATCTTAGAACTATAAAAATTAATAACCTTGTTGCCGCACATGATTTTTAAAATTCATTAAATTTATATTTAAAAAAAATCCTGCCATGTTAGCAGTCATCTTCTAGGCAAATGAATATTTGTATATTCTTTTGACAATAGAATAACGTTTTATTGCAAATATTTCGATTTACACATGCAACCTAAGGTCTTTTATTTAAATAAAATTATACAAATGGGGTGATCTTTTCATTCCAATTTCTAACGTTAGTTTTTGATCACTCTGTATTTATTTTTTTTTAAATATTAAAAGGAAATCAACCCCCAATATGCAATAAAGGCTTTCAGTCGGAGGAATGGATAGATATATTTAGACCGGCAAACGTCACTTTTGACAAAATTTAAAATATGTCTGTCAGAAACAACAAACTTAGGTAAAGAATAGTGTATACAAAACATAAATTTATTTTATTTATTTATTCATCTTATAACCTTCAAATACAATAACGTGGAATATAATCTAGAAGTTTCTTTTTAAAATGTAATATTCTTTATAGGTTGTGGGATAAGATGTCATCTCATCATAAACCGGTCACCCTTTACAAACTAACCACTAAGATTCAAACCTCTATCCACAATCATATTTATCAAATCCAGTTTGTCTTTCGTTAGTTGGCAATTTGAAATATGCCTACTAACTTTAATTTTAGAAACCATTTTTTTTTATTATAGATATCTTCTTCTACTCCTTATACAAGGCGTTTCGAACAATAATGTGGGAAATTTATCCTTTTTTTTATTTTTTTTTTTTGATAAAAACAGTTCTTATTAAAAAAAGTTGAGAATTGTTCCCGAAAAATGGCCCCCTTTCAAAGGTCATCAAAACTCCACTGAGGTTGATAGATTAGATACTCAAGAATAAAGTTTTATAAACAAATGTGGTTATAATCGAAGAAAGTTAAGGTTATTCTGATCAATATGCATAAATAAAAGTTGAGCGATCGGTTTTTATATTTTCATTTCAATTTTACACTGACAAATTGAGGTAATTTTGGCCCCACCCTTTCTTAATTTTTGTTGGTGGTTGGCGAACATCCTATGTATAGTTTGCAATAATGTAATATATAAGAAGCCTTTTACATATTTCTAATTCGATCCATGGATCCTTTACATTAATACGGGAACTTTAACTTTAACTTTAGATAAATAGGTATACGCTCTTCTGATCTAGCAACGTGGTATTATGAAAATTTAAATATAGCTACAGCTTTTTATTAACTAATCATTAAAATATTAAATCAAAATTAATTTTAAGACATTGTTTTCTAATTTTATTATAAAATCTTAAACAATATACAATATTTTTATAGCATTAAACTTAACATTCAATAGTAAAAGTGAAATGTAAACAATTATTTGAAAATTAGTTTGAAACGCTAGCGAGGGCTTACCTCACAGATGATGGCCGTAATACTCTGCAGGGTAATGCGCGTACTGGTTGTGGAAGGCGGGGTCGCCCGGCGGTCGGTGCATCATCTGCTGCTCGCCCATCATGTAACCCATCGTACCGTCGGGACTATACGCACCGCTAGGACCTGCGTGAGGAGAAAATACTATTAGGAGTGTAAGGCGCTGCTCTTGGACTGCAACCATTGCTTTAAATCAAGTCACAGAGGTAACTATAACGGAAGGTACTCAATCTTATAATAGGCATTGATTGCTTCACTAAAGATGAGCAGTAAGTACTGCCAAGTATCAGTTATAGTTACGTCTGTGACTTGGAACAACTATTAACAAATATATAGTGCTAAATCAAGGTAGGTATTCCTTTGTTATTCGTTGTTACTAATTGATATATGGTTTATGGAATTCTAATTTGTTGTGTTTAAGTTACCCATTACAGAAATCAGTCAACATTTAGTCCAACTGTTTAATTTAAAACAAAAACACCGTCAAAAAGCTAAGTTAAAAACTAAAATATTATTAGAAAAGTTAAAATACAAAAAAAAAGTAAGGTAAAATTAAAATTATTAGAAAAAAAAGATTTCAAAAATGAGGAGGTAATTGTTAAATAAGTGAATCGTAACACCATTACTGCCATATTTTTATAAACGAGTAAAGAACGCACAGGAAACAATTAGACAGCCACAAAGACAATTTTTTTCACGAAGTGCAAAAGTTTCTTGAGTAGATAGATGGTAGAAACTTATAAGTAAGAAAATTTTTCGCCGCTTTAGGCTTGGTTAGTTTATTTACGCACTTGTATCTGCGAGATTGAACTTTATACAACTAAGTTTGTGTTTGGTTAACAAGTTTTATACTGTTCTAGGAAAAATGTAAATTAGAATAATGAAATGTTGCATGTTAAATTATAATATAAATCAATAAAGCTCTACTGGAACACAAGCGATCATGTGTATGTATTCTAGTGGTAAAATGTGCAAGCAGGTCCAAGTGATTGCTTGCAGTGTCAATTTTAAAACACTGTTTTGGTTAGTTGGACTCGAATTTTTATTTGATCTTTGTGAAGGAGCAAGCAAATTATAAAAAGCCGACAAACCAAAAGTCCTATTTCGCAGTTATCCAAAAACCAACACAATTTTCGTTGTAGTAAAGGGAGACGTGTTAGTTATTAACATCATCTGACTGAGGCTGTACTGAAAAGTTGCAGGCATTTGAGTAGTGGTACTACAGATGCATACTTTTACAGGGTCGATAGGATCACAAACAAAAGAAGTCACGAGACACGACAAGAAGATATATTTTCGTCATATCATGCGATATCCAGAAAAGGAAGAAAAATCTAATCCCAAATAGAACCTGGAAGAAGACGCACTTCTTTTCATGGGAATCTAAAGCCGACTTATGGACTGTCAACAGAACAAGAACAGGTGTGAAAGTGCCGGTAGCCAACGGGCGATATGGCAGCACAAGAAGAATTTGACGTACTTCTTTGAAATGTCAATTTTAATATCTTTACACCATATTTTGTACATTAACTGTTTAAAAATGGGCCCACTCTTTCAAATTGCATTTTTCATATGAAATGCAAAAGGAAAACCGGGCAATTTGACAGTTCAAAAATTAAAAGTTGCCACACACGAACGAAGCTTAAAACGTTTCCCGTGATTTGCCCAAGTGTTTATTAAGTCTCTTTTTGACTTTGAAAGACGTGTGGCACGGATCCCGAAATTCCATCAAATTTCCCTCCCCCCATGCTACGTCGTCGTTGGGGCTGTCTAACGGAACCGATTGTGTGCCGCGCGGTGATGGATCGGCCCGTGAGGGTCAATGGCTCCCGCCATTTCTCTTCGCTTGTCTTCAACAGGAACAGAAAAGCTTTGGAATCGATAGCGAACGAAGGAACACTTTTACACGGGCAGCCATTAATAATCCGCAATGGTGCGGCAGCGGCACTCTGGAAATTCTTCTCGAAATGCCAAAATAAAAACGAGAGTCGACGGTTACGGGTTTATATCGGGTGCGAGGGCACGGTCCTACGATAACCGATCATACAAGACTTTCCACTTACAATTCATATCGGACCGATTGCCGCCATGGGATCGGCCCATATCTTCACAAAAATGCATACAACAACGTTAGGCTTTAATGGAAATCACGATTCATTAAAAATTGAGATAAGTACGTCGCGGACGGAACGAAAGGGAAGAAAAAGAGACTCGTAGTACATGTTTCTGAATAACGTTATTAGATTATATAGTTTCGAACCAACGATGTGTTGCCCGGATTTGTCAGGTGCCGCGGCTCGCGAGGTTGCCAAACCACCGGAAGATCTTACTTGTATCAGGTCCCTTGTACTAAATGTATAGTAACCTCATCAGAATTATAAGGGAGTAGTAAAGTATTAAGATTCCCTCAGATGGATTGTCAGTAATGAAAATTCAGTTTGCAGAAGGGTCTAGAAAAGAGCCGACCCATATTACCAGATTCCATAAAAATAGTGCACATTTTGGGTTTGAATTTTTATTGTCGATATAATTGTAATTGTAATTGTAATTCTGGGGTCGGTACACATTTCATGGAACTTACCCGCTCGGTTGGACTGGTCGATCATTGGTTGTACTATCCTCCGCCTCGCATTAATAAACCTGAAAGAACAAAATTCATAAACCTACGCCCAACGCGTGTGGATGCGGCGTATACAAGAGCTAGAGCTAGAGCTTGAAAACATCTTAATTATTATATAATAAAAATAACACGAATAGTTTCGATACATTGTATGCTTTTAAACGCGATGAGGGAAATGACGTGCCATAAGCAAACTTCAGACGGTTTTAAATTTCGATATTTTCGATTTTCGACTAATTGTAATCATGTGAACCGGCACTCAAAAAACTAGGGTGTTTACTTAAACCTGATTCACCAGATATTTTGAAAACAGACAAATAAACTTTTTAATATTATTAAAATTGCGCCTTTTCCAATGCTAGTATTTATTTTTCTATTTAATCAAATCCACAACAGTATTGCTATTCAAAATAGGTACATATGTTTCTACATATGTTTCGTCAAATTAAAACAATATAGAAATAATATATAAGACAAATTTTTTTTTGTTTGAATTTGATTCTTGGTTCTTTATTTCACTAAACAGTAGATTCAATATTTTTATTCCCATTAAGTCGGGAGACAATTAAAGGGGGTTATAAAGCTACCGCAATTACTAAGACTCATTCTGTCTCAGGTCGTGCATGCTCCCAACAGTAAACCTAGTATTTCAGGCCATATTAATAAGTTGCTTTATTGTTAATATAAGTGTTGCGGTGTTTTTCAAATTTGGATTTGGTCTACTGTAAGGACCTATGTACTATCAACTCTAAAGAGTCCCTACCCAGCAACTTTCATATTAATAGAAAGTTTTTCCTTTATTGGGGGTTATGGAACCGGAAATAATTTGTTTAAGTTGTGTTTAAGTACAGATCATTTTGTGTATCAAGATTTGCATTAACTTTTGCTATCACTGGTTTACCATCTTTTAGACGGAAGACATTACCGCCATTGTCTGCGAACTTTGCAGCAACACAATCAGGGGCAAGACATTTAAAAATACTATTTACTTAGATAATAAAGAATAACGGTTCCACGACGGAACCCTGAGGCACCCCCATCTTGACATTAAGTCACTTTTAAGTAATTTTGTTATCATTAGAATTAGCAGTACTTGGTATTGTAATAGATTGTTCTCCATACCCCTTATTCCGTAGTAAGCGCCCTCGCCTAAAAGTATATTATTTTCGATATCCGCCACCGATTGCTTTGCTAAGATAGCAAAAAACCCCCTTTCGCTTAATCTCCTGATGAAACAAATCGTCCGCGTACGCAAACCATATTAGTTAGCACCTTAGATATTATGTTTCGTAAAAAAGTGTTAATTTAATCTAGATAATCAGTAAACATTTTAGAGAAACCAAAGCATAGTACTGTACGCCTACATTTCTGTAGCAAGTCTTCCCCGCCCTTCTCGCACATGGGAACCACTTTAATGATTTTTAATATCCCAGGAAAAATACCGTCCCGAAAAGATTTATTAACCAAAAACAATAATGGTAACGCAATTATTTTCGAAACATGTTTTAGTATAAACGTTGCAACGCTATCATATCTCAACGATAACTTCATATTCATTTTAACAAATTAAAAAATCTAAAAGTTCAAGCTTTTTTTTTAATTCAAAGCCTCTCGTCAAGACAGGGCACGAGACTCTACGTTTGCGCAGAGATCTTTACCTCGTTATTATAAAATAAAAAAGAAACATTAGCCAAGTTGCCAAATCACCATTTTTAATTTAGGGAAGGTAATTAATATGTATTAGAAAGTGTTGACGCGTTTTACATCAAATAATGCAATGATGCTACCTACTAAACCAATCACTTTCAATATCGTTTTTTGATGCAATCGACAAAAACCAAGAGAAATTTGGATTACCTCCGCCCATTCGTATTGCTACATCAGCGATTTCTCAGACGCGTAGCCCGCGACGGCCCAAAAACACGAAAAAAAAAAAACAAAAATATAAATATATCGGTGTGCAGTCGCGCCGACAGTTGTCAGCGCGTGTCAAAGTAACGCTACAACTAATGCGGCATGACACCGGAAATGATTGGGTTTTCTGCCAACCGATTGGTCGCGTTTCCGATATTGGATGTGTGTAGATTTGTAAAAACAGCAAAACGCGCACATATATATCAATCCGAAACGCAAACAATATAAAACGGGGCAGATTAAAATCAGGTATTACTACTATCACGTCCCCACCACATCGTTAAGAGACTTTATTTCAACATTTTTTTTGTGACCGGCAATAAACAAATTTCAATTCGTTTGTTGTCATGTTTATTTTTGTATAGGAGAGAGATACAAAATGTTTGATTGTCCGAGATGATTTTCGTTCAAAATGGCACAATGCAAAAAAAATAGTTACTTTTGGGACTGTTACATTATAATTTCGGTTTATATACTAATGAAACAAATATCCCACAATATTTTGCACATAGACGACGATTTCGACGACAATACCGGGTCGTTTTTCTTTCAAATAAAAATCTACGTAACACGTTCCGAAATTTCTTTTACTAAACTCTTAAGCAAGCGAAGTGGGAATCCTGCAGCACTGCTACTCGAACTGCTATTAACTCGCTATTGTCAACTCCAGTATTCCTGAAGCTACAAGTTCGGTTCGGTTAGTGCAGGTGTAGTATTTTGTTTTTGGATTAAAGTTGATGTAACCGAAATATAAGTGAAAATAACATTTCCGAGTTACTTAAAAAAACTGTAGTTTTTTTAGATAAAAGGCGACCGAAACATATTAATTATGATATTTATATTAATTATGATAATTATGATAATTTAAATTATTAACACAAACACCAAGTTATGTAATTAATTTGATGTCGGTATCCAAATTATTTCGTGGTGGTAAAAATCACAAAATCACTAACAAATGGTTTCTACCACATAGCTATTAGATATTATCGTGGCTCTACTACGGTAAAAATGAGCAGCAGGCAGCATTGATATTTTTGTAGAGGTTATGGTTATGATTTTCTGTGAATGCTTTCTACATTTCATCCATTAACCTACACTTTGCGCTATTTTCTTTCTAAACGGCGACTTTCACACACAAAACTCGTTTTCCCAGAACATTTAACGAAATCTGGGCATATTTTGAGAAAAAATACTGCCGTAAAAAAGCCGCATCCAAACTTATTGACGGTCTGCCAGCGGCTATGTTGATTATTGAATCTCGGAAGGTCACTGAGTAAAAAAAAATTTTTAATCTCCCGCATGCGTATATTTGCTTCATAAGTTCTTGTATTACCGGCCTAGTAGCTATATGGTTGCTACCAAATGCTTATGGCTGGCTCTGTATGTCTCGAGGTTGTTCTTCAAAATTTTTTTTATTTGTTTTATTTTATTATTTGTTTTATTTATACCGGGTCTCAACTAATTTGTAGAGACAGTATTGGTGAATATATCAATTAACGACAATGTTACGATGATGTGTTTGCCAATTTTTTTATTTCTATTCCGACTTAGAAAGATGTTTTAAAACTAATTTCCTCCGATTTATTACCATACTTATCTTTTTAAAACAAACTAAATGAAATGTTCAAAGAAACGTTGGTCAATACCTGTTAGGACATGTTTTTAAAATTGCTCTACAATGAATCCACATCTTCGGATGCATCGAATGTCGTTTTCATTTTGGACACACACCGCCATTTTGGTAAAACAGATAAATATATTCATCATTCGGTTATATTTCATTTTAGGCCAATATTTTAGCATTCCATATTCCTGCCTATCGTTGGCTAAGCGTTTTTGAAGGAATGTGTGGAGTGTTAAACAAATGAAATAAAATAACTGACAAATTCCAAGATATTGAATATGAACTTTAAAATAGTTTTTTATTGATAAACGTTATTTTTGACTTTTCCAATGATAAATTGTTGGGTGTTTAATAACGTGTATGTGTTTTACGTTTTATTTAACGTTTTGTCTAAAGTAAGATGCCGTTGTTTTTTATTTATATACGTAAAAAATTTTTGACAATCCCATAAATGATTAAAAAAGTATTATTATGAATATTATATTATTATCATTATTATATAGGGACGTTTATATTCTACGAAACATTTGTAAACATTATAGTAAAAATACATATAAAAAAAAATCAATTTTTGTTTTTTGTTCGGATAATAACGTGTATGTATTTTATGTTTTATTTAACGTTTTGTCTAAAATAAGATGCCGTTGTTTTTTATTTATATACGTAAAAAAATTTTGACGATCCCGTAAATGATTAAAAAAGTATTATTACGAATATTATATTATTATCATTATTATATAGGGATTTTTATATTCTACGAAAGATTTGTAAACATTATAGTAAAAATATATAAAAAAATCAATTTTCGTTTTTTGTTCGGAATGGATTTTTTTTGCATTCGCTATCTCAATCAGCATAAAAATATGCTACTACTTTGCTAATTTAACCCACTTCGTGTCTCTAATAAAAAAAAACTCGCAATAGTGCCCACTTAACTTGGTACACTTCATATAGATTAACAGACACATTTTTCCTTCGACAGAAGAACGCAGCGAGCTAAAAGTTTCATTCGCTTCAATATTATCTATCGCTTCCTTTCGGGTTTTAAAATTGCAATTTCTTACGCTCCGGTCGCGAGTCTAATGAGCATTAGAAACGAGAGATCTACGATAATTGTTCTCTCTCGCGCGCCGTTCTTCTTTTGCCTCCGTATTAAATTTAGAATACCATTTGCCTCCTCTCTAAGTACTTTGGTCTCAAAAAACGGGCCCGAAAATAAATTCGTTTGTTTGGAGAGGAGAACAAGGGCGGTGCGCGCAATGCGCGCTTGTTTATGGGAATTAACTTAAAAGTTTGCGGAAAACATTCCGAAAGTCGTATTTCGATTAACCCCGGGCCGCCGAGGCGTCTCTTCTTCCCTCCGCGTTTCGCGTCACACATAAACAAAATTACTAGGAATTTTGTAGGATCAATTTCCCCTATCCATTAGGGGCGGCGGGGTCGCTACCGCTTCCCACGGCGACTATTACAGTTGCACCA